AAATAACTTAATATTAACTTAAACATAAAAGACAAAAAAAATAGAATTGTTGCCTTGGCAACTAAATAAAATTATGTGAAATGTAAAAATGAGAAATGAAGCTAAAGTACTAAAATCATTAAAACTAAAACTGAAATAAAAAATATTAATTAAATCTAAATAGAAATATTAAAAATGACAAAATTACTAAAATTTAAAATGAAATTAAAATGAAAACTGATTAAATGTATTAATAAATATTATAATAGTACATAAATAATACTAAAAAACACACTGAACTTAAAGAACTTAAAACTGAAAAGATCCGACTCAAAAGAACAATTTGTTTATGAACTGAATATCAACTAAGCAGCAACAAAGAAGGGTTGGGGCAAATGTTTGTTTGTCTGAATGTGAACAACAATACAAATTTTTATTTACTAATCGCACAAAGTGGTCTAATGTCTTCAGACAAAATATTGTACATGAGTCATTTGGATCACTTTTATGATACTTTATAGTGTGATTACATATTGAACTCTTCTGTCCCTATTTATCCTTATTGCATGAAAAAAATGTCTCCAAAATCTCTCTGTGTGTGTTCTACAGAAAAAAATCAAGTTGTACAGATTTGGAACAACATGACATTAAGTAAACGATGATATTTGGAATTTTGTTATTAAACCATTACTTAAAACACTATGAAATGCTATGACAGAGCATTTCATAATCACTTTACTTTAGAGGTGAAACACTGTACCTTGTTTATTGCAGAATGATCTACACACCTCCACAGTCAGCTCTTCTTCTCTTAAACCCTCTCTTTCTTCATTCCTGCTGTCTCTCTCTGGGCAATTCTTCATCCTAATCTCATTTCTCCATTCATTCATTCACTCTCTCTCTCTGCCTCTGACTCAATCTTAAAAGTGGTCCACACAAAGGGCACACAAGCACTACAATCCAGGTCAATAACAAACTGACCAAAGATGCACTGGCTTACAGTGCTTAATCTAAAGAGCATCTCTATTTTTAAATGATTTAAACTTTCTGAAAAATGAGACTGAAAGTGCATCCACATAAACACAAACAAACTCTCCTCAAGTGCCAGGACAGAAAGTCTACCCAAGGACGATTTTGCAACAGGAGACGTCATAAGCACCGCAAAGCATCAATCGGAAACCATGCGTAAACTTTGCATGCGGCTGTGAAAATCCTGGCAATTGCATCACACGTCTCACAACACACAGCTGCAGAGAGACGTACAGTACTGACCCCGGGCAGCCAAATAACAGTAGCAGAATCATACTGATTCAGAGGTGCAGACATCAAACAAAACATGCACAGACATCACAATCCAAGTTAGAATCCATTCAGAAGTCATTTCAGCCTTTAAAGAAAAGGACATCTTGAGTACGTATATGCTGTGTCATCCTACACAGTGGCGAGGTCACCTTTAAGAGAAAGCATGCGTAAGCACCTACCCTGCAGCCTCTGCATCTTATTGGCAATCTCCCTGTCTGAACGGCCATAGCGCTGAGCAGATGCCATTCCACTGATTCGAAGTCAGTGGTGCTGATGCAGGTCAGCGGATGCGGCTCCACCTGACACTTCTCCAGTGATCCAGGATTAGCTGAAGTCTACATGAAAAGCGTAATTGTTTTCAATCAGACGCATGCCATGCAAACATACGGTTTCTTTCCTCCCCTTGAAGTTCTGTGGCTTCTGCAGGAAGCAGCCTCTTCCCTTTGCACTCTCTCTCTCTTTCTGCCTCTCACACTCTACTGTAGGCATCAGCATAAGTTTTCACTGCCACCTTGTGTCCAATCAGAGTGCAGATCTCAAGTGTAGTCCAATAGTGAGGCCCAAATTGAGTCCTGCTGTGTATGAGTGTGTTACTTTAGCAAAGCCAGACAACATTACTCTAAATTATTCAATTAAAACGTGTTACATGACTGAGCTTCCGCTCATGGAAAATGCAAAAGATGTTGGAATATGGCGTATCTCAAGCATGGGACTCCATTAAGTGAAATTCAAGAGGGGCGGTTAAAACTCTCATACCAGAGACACGCTGTTATGCTTTTCACTTCCATTACCGGTTCAATCACACAGATGCATGTTATAGGAAAAAAAGCAAAGTGAAATGCCTGACTGGAGCATTAAGCTCGGGATTCAGAGACCACTCTGCTGAGTCTGCTGGTTTTCAAACAGCGATGCTTAGCAATGACCTCTACACGGTCACTGCAGATGGATGTGAGAGAGAGAGCACAGTGTGAAGTTACTGACACAAGTCCTTGTGCGTAGAGGATCTTATGTCATTCTCGTTCACTCACCTTCTCCAAGGAGCCACTGTGAAAACACTGTACCCAACGTCATTCTGAAGAGCCCATTAGGCGACAAACAGTTCAGCATCGCACATCAATATTTTGCTAAATGTTTTCCTGGGAATAGATAAGAAAGAAAGAGAGGGATTCATTCTGACAAGCAAACAAACAAACCAATTAGCAAATAAGATCAAGAATGGTGATGTTCAAATGCCTGAAATGCGGTTATGCTGCAACATGTTCTCTAAAGAGTAACAGAGCCATCTGCTGTTTATCAAGAGAAGATGGACAGGAGAGGAGAGGATAGGATAGGATAGGATAGGATAGGATAGGATAGGATAGGATAGGAAAGGAAAGGAAAGGAAAGGTTAAGATATGAAAGTAAAAGGAAAGGGTAGGAAAGGAAAGGAAAGGATAGGATAGGATAGGATAGGATAGGACAGGACAGGACAGGACAGGACAGGACAGGACAGGACAGGACAGGACAGGAAAGGAAAGGAAAGGAAAGGAAAGGAAAGGAAAGGAAAGGAAAGGAAAGGAAAGAAAAGAAAAGAAAAGAAAAGAAAAGAAACGAAAGGATAGGATAGAGTTACAGTAGCCATAAATCACAGAATACACAATACAAGAAGAAAAAAGAAAAAGCTAAAAAATTAAATATAAAAATTTAAAAAATCAAATATATTATACAATGTGCAAAAATATACACTGCATTGCATGAAAAAAAGATTTTTACAAAAAATAATTATTTTAATGTATTTTATTTTGAAAATAAAATAAAATAAAATGGTCCCAAACATGAACTAGGCATGTTTTTGGCATAGGGAATTTTAATGGAAAACACAAAATAGGCTGAAGATAAAAGTGTAATGTATACTTCAGACCTGTGTATGGCAACAGCTGATATCTGCACTCCACAGCACAAAGCAACAAAGAGAGGAAATGTCAGTATAGGGCCTGTCCCGCTCCTCCCAGACCAGCGGCTCTGTCCTAAAACCCTGTGCTATCTACTGTCCTTAATCACTAACCTCCAGATACCCTTAATGAACACTATGAAGGAAAGAACACAGTTCTCACAGAGGTGAAAGTGGCCTGGTTCGGGGCAAAATCCTGCTTTCTTTGCAGGATCTTATCAGGATTGTTTTTGCAAAAGTTAGCCTGGTCAGGATAACCCAGCACAGAGCTGGCACTCTACATGGAAAATCTGAAGTGGTGTGATGACCAGCACGACTACAGCAGACAAAATGGAACAGTAAAAGCTCAAAAATCTTGGAAATTGTGTTACGAAATCTTTTGTTATGAAATACATAGAAAAATGCAAGGGTTTCATCTGTTTGGACTTGGGTTTCCTGTGCTGGAATCCTGAAAGAATTCTGGATGCTTTTTAAGTGCTTCAGCTGCCATGGCTATGTTGACAGTGTGTGTGGAAAAGATATCACAAAAAAATGAACACATGAGAATGTGTTCATGTTCCTCTAATGTTTTGGACAGCCATATTAAAAACAAATAATTAAATATAAATTTTTTTCATGCTATTTTTATATTGTATTGTATATTATGTTATTATACAATAAACTACAGTTCAAAGTTTGGGGTCAGTACTTTTTTTCTAAGAAATTAACACTTCTATTTAGCAAGAACACATTAAATTGATCAATAGTGACAGTAAAGATATTTATAATGTTGTTATAAATGCTGTCCTTTTGCAATGAATGATGAAAAAATGTATCATGGTTTCCATCAAAATATATAGCAAAACAACTGTTTTCATTATTGATAACAATAAAAAATGTTAGAAGGATTTCATAAGGATTATGTGACACTGACAACAGGAGTGATAACAGCTAAAAAAAATTCAGCTTTGCTATCATTAAAGGGGTCATATGATGTTGCTAAAAAGAACATTATTTGGTGTATTTGGTGTAATGAAATGTGTTTATGCGGTTTAAGGTTCAAAAACACATTATTTTCCACATACTGTATATTATTGTTTCTCCTCTATGCCCCGCCTTTCTGAAACGCGTC